ATATTAGCCTAAATTATTTTCATAACACACACATGCACAGAATAAACAGAAGAGATGGATGAGGAACATTCCAGGCTGTACTGTTTCTTCACAGCATTTGTAACAGATGGATGTTACCTCTGTGTGGCTGTTTGGTTGGTTAAGTCCCTCTCCCCTCTTTAAACCGTGCGCTATTAACCTCACCACCGCATTTCAGGGCCGAATTCCATCCCGAGGATGAGCTGAAGCACGGGGAGAGGCGCACGGTGCAGTGAGGGTGAAGCAGGGGCCGGGAAGGGAACCAGAGCCCACGAAAGGTAGGAAAAGACACGGGGCAGGAAAGACACTGACCAGCAGCAAGGAAGTGTCAGAGGGGTTTCTGAGGCCTGATGTGATCCAGAACAGATCTTGGGCTCAAAGTCAACAACATCTGTTGTAGGTAGTCTAAGAGCTGTGAAAAAGTGTAAATCAGCTAATTGCCCAGATTCCAGAGATGTTAGAATCCTTTCAAGCCAGACCCTGAGTGAGCGGCAAGGTCACCTGGGTACGTGGACACATCAGAACCTACAGCACCTCTCTCCTGTTCAATCGCCACTTGTTTCCACGGTCTCTTGCCTTCTTTGTAATCGAAGAAGCATGCTTTACAAAGTGATCTGGGAGCTCGTCTAGTCTCCATTTCCTATTCTGAAGATAAAGACCCCGAAAGCCAAAGTGAAGTACATAGAATGGGGTAGAAATTCGGACTAATACTAACTTGCACTGTGTGCTTACTCTGTGCGAGCCACTTTTCTAAATGTTTTATATATACTATAGTAACTAGTTTAATTCTCATCTCAATCTGTTACAGGTTCAACTGTGTCCCTCCTCCCTCTTCCAAAAAAGACACTGGAAGTCTTGGTTCCCCAACTGTATGAATGTGACCTTATTTGGATGCCGGGTCTTTGCAGATTTATCAAGTTAAGACAAGGTCATTATAGTAAGCCTTAATCCAACCTGGCTGGCATCCTTGTAGGAGGGAAATCTGGACACAGCCAACCAGGGCGACCACCATGTGTAGACAGACACATACAGACACGAAGGGCCATGTGAAAAAAACAACGCCACACAGACACAAAGGGAAGGTGGCCATGTGAAGATGCAGGCAGATGAGTCACGCTGCCACAAACTAAGGAATGTCTGGGGCCACCAGAAGCAGCTAGAAGAAAGAAAGGATCCTCCCCTGGAGGTTTCACAGGGCGTATGGCCCTGATGACATCTTGACTTCAGACTTTAAGCCTCCAGAACTACGAAAGAGTAAATTTCTGTTATTTTAAGCTTCCCAGTTTGCACTGCTATGTTGCCACAGCACCAGGAAACTAAGAAACAACCCCATTGCGATGTAGGATTAGCTCTCAGGAAACTGGAGAACAAGGTCACGGTTAGCAATGGCAAAGCTAGAACTTAAACACGTGCTGTACGATTCCTGAACCTAGATTCTTAGCCACTATGTTCACCTGCTTCTCGGGACCAGATTAAAACACGACACTCATCAACAGTGATGAATGAAATAGCAGGTAGAACATTCATCCCCTCTGAGCTGGTCTGTAAAACCGGGGCAACACCTAAATCAGGAGTCACGTCGCGAGACACACACAAGCATCCTGCCAAAGAGCTCAGCACAGAGGGAGAGAATGAGAAACAGCAGCTGTCCCTGCCCAAGTCACAGCAATAGGGGGTGGTAGAACTCCAGCTTCCAGCTCCAAAGCTCTTTCTCCTATGCCAGCTGCCCCCTCGTCCTCTTCTCCCCTGAAAAGTTAACCTGACCATACAATGAGACAATGAAGCATCTGCAGTGAACTAATGACAATCTAATTCATTCTCGATTTAAAATGTAAGCCCCTACCTAAATTAAATTGCTTTTTCACTTCTCTACACCTTTGATTTTTTTAAAGTTATCGTACTACTATATCTTATTATCTAAGGGTTATTTCTAGATAGTTCTCTAATTATGAATGTTTATATCCAAAGTACTATAGTCTATTTTTCAATGCTCCTTTTCCTAACCATACATCACACTTCCACTGGCAAAATATAAAAGGAAGTAAAAGATAAAATTTCCTTCTTACATTTGTTAGAAAATAAAAGTCTACAAAGGACAAACTATTTTCAGTTAGCAGGTAATTATTACAAACAAAAGATTTAAAAACAACATTCATTCCTTTATTGCATGTGATCAATTCTATTTGATGTATAAAAAGTATCTATGATGCTAGTATTAAATTAAAACTAATTTTGAATTTACCACTGATAAATGTATACATGGTATAAGGAAAACTATAGACCCTGTTTAGATAACCAGACATAGAAAGGTATAATATAAACATAATTTTGCAAAATGGCTAATTCATATGATATTCTTTTTTTAAATACCAAGTCCCATAAAAACGTAAGTTTTTTCATTAAGTTCTGAAGCCAATATTCCTTCTTGTTACCAATGATCACCAGTTCTTTGAGAAAACAGTTTTCTTTGTAAATATTCCACCAATTCTAGTCTTGATTTTAGTATATCAATCTCATGATACGGGATCTGTAAAGGAAGGAAAATAAAACTAGTCAAAACCCTTCACAATCTGAGATTACTTTGGCTTTCTTGTTACCTTGCTTGTCCCCCCACACACCCTCCCGCACAGCAGAAGGTAAGCTCCCAGAGGGCAAAGACCACGATCCCCTTAGTCATCCTGTAGCCCAGGAGCCTAGAACAGTGCCTGGCATAGAGGAGGCTCAGTAAATACTTGCTAACTAAACAAGTGGGATCTCTACATAAGAAACAAACAGGATCCGTTGTTCTCCAGGAGCTCACAATTGAGGTGGCAAGTTAAATTACACAATAAATAAAAAGGTAAGCAGATTGGTGACCTAGTACTGAGAGGGCGTCGGCACTTCATTAGATGAGGGTGAAAGGTGCTGATGAAGGGCCAGAAGATACTCAGAGCTGGAGGATGCAGCATGGGCAAACGGGAAATGAGGAGAGAGAACAGAGAGGCTCAGGGAAGGGGAGTGAGCACTCAGCTGGGAGCAGAGGGGCCAGGCTGTAGGCCACGTGCCTGAGGCCTGGCTGTAGGCAGACCATGGAGGGTCTCAAATGTTAAGATGTAGTGAAGTTTTTAGTTTATCCTATAAGCAGTAAAGAAACAATGAAGGTTTCTGAGCACACACTGGCATGATTAGTTTTAGGAAAATTAATCTGG